GGGCGGGGGCGAAGACATGCGCAATCGATGCCCGACGCCGGAGCGCCGATCGCTCCTTCCCTCCCAGTGTCTTGTCACCGCCCTCGCCCCCTTCTCTTCTATTTCCCTTTTCTGTCCCCCTTCTCTTTCTTTTTCTTTCTTCCTCCCTTCCCTCTCTTCATTTTTCTTTTGCCTGCTTTCAGTTAAAATGTCACCTCGGAGAAGTCCTGGTCCCTTGTCTCGAGGGAATTCTGCCCACACCACCTGTCCCTAGACTTAGCTAGGGGAGGGGGTCGTTAAACACGCAGAGAAGATTCCCATCTTCAAGTACTGCACACAGGGACCTTTGAGAGCAGGCTGAGGACCTACACCCTTTCTAAGGTTCTTGTACTGTGGAAGGATCTCCTCTCCCCCCGGAAAAGATTGGTGGGTACTTTTTTTTAACCAACTTTGGGGCGGGTATAACTGTTTTCAATTTGATTTATATAAATAAAAAAAATAGGGGGCCGGGGATTTAGCTGCCGACCTCACAAGCTCAAGGACCTGAGTTCGTTCCCCGGTACCTAAATAAATAAGGCATTATCTGCACCCCAGCCCTTGGGACACTGATTTTTATGAGTGAGGCTTCGTATGTGTTATACTCCTCAGCACTGAATCAAGGTGTGGTGGCTGTCACTTTTTTGGTCCTTCTCATTTGCACTTTATTAGGAAGAATTTCTTATGAGTCCCACTTTCCTAACAAATGACAGTAGTAATAGCCAGTACTTGCATAGTGCTATTCTGTGCCAGACACAGTTCTGAGCACTTTACAAATAACATTTAAGCATTGTAACAACTCTAAAGGTGGACTGTGTTATTCTAGTTAGGCAGACAGATACTAGTAGGCCTGAGGGATGAAGAATGTATTCCAAAATAGCATGCATTGCTAGTTAATTAAAGAAAAATGTCGATGTATAATACATTTGTATAAAACATTTATAACCATTTGTTAGGTCTCAGATGTAAAATGATCCCACAGAGCACAATGACACTTTAAGGTTATACATTGTGAATGGTCCTTCTGATATCTGTCACCTGGCCATCTAATGCCAGAAAAAAGCACAGTGTCTATAGCCCAATGATACCAGGAAGGAAACCATGTGCTATTTAAGACTGTGTCTGGGGCCAGAGATTTAGCTCAGTGGTGCTGTCGATTGCCTCGCAAGTGCAAGGTCCAGAGTTTGATCCCTGTTAAAAAAAAATTATGTCTGATTTATTTTATGTAATATTATGGTCTTAAGGTGCATCCATTTACCTACAAATGCCTCAAGTTTATCCTTATTTATGGCAGAATACTACATTGTATATAAAAACATTTTCATTTATCTGTTGATGGGTATATAGGCCATTTCCAGGATTTAGTTACTACAAATTGTGCTGCTATAAATAGGGGTATGCATGTATCACTACAGTATGATGACTAAATCTTTTGGTAAGATATCTAGAAGGGGAATAGCCGGTGTTTAAGACTAGAGGAAAACTGAGGCCTAATTGGCCTCTGTGAGCACAAAGGAGAAAGGCCACATTCAGGGGTGACTGCATACTGCAGGTTCTAGAGAAAAGTTAAGGCAGCTGAAATTAAGTTGTTTACATGAGCAGGTACTAATGGCCATTGAAAAGCAGATGAATCTTGCGTTATTTTGATTGCTTGTACTCATGTTTGGGTGAATAAAGGCAAGATGAGCCAGACTGAGGGGAAGAGAGCCTCCTGGCTGTCCACAAGTAAAACTGACTTTGTGCCTTTTTGTCATTCATCCTGGTTCACCCCTGGGTCAGAGAAAACAAAGTAGTGGGTCCAGGTCCTGGAACAAGGCCAGCAGCTTTACTGGAGCTTCCTGTCTGGCCAAACGCAAAACATTTAAAATCAATCTGCTGGTCTCTTTGCTCTTCATTCTCAATGTAGATCTGGCTAAAAGCCCCCACCAGCAGCCATGCGATGGCCTCAACATTAGACTGCTTTGAAATTTCTTCTGTGAGATTAATTAGTCCACCACTCTTAATCTCAGTCTCAGGTACAGTCTCTGGACAGGAGCAAATGCAGACAAACTTTCTGCCAAGCCGTAACACACATCATCTGGAGTCCAAAAGCCAATGTAGTCCTTCCTAGTAGAAACCTCCAGAGCCTGATCTTGACCAGTTTTCTGGCACTCTGAGCTCTGACCAGAAGCTCCCATACAGTACAGCCTAAGGTGTTCCAGTGCTAGTTTTTCAGCTAGCATTGCAGAACTTTTATAAACTCTTCCGGCCAGAAGAGGCTGTTTCACAGCCAGTTCCAAAGGCTCTTGAACTTCATGGTCAGGTAATGTCCAGCAATAATCCCACTCTTGGCACCAAATTCTGCGTTACTTTTCTCTTGTCGCTGAGACAAAATACCTGACACCCAAAATTAAAGGGGAAAGGTTTATTTAGCTCACAGTTTGTAGAGGTTTCAGTTCATAATTGGCTCATTTCAAGGCAGAGTGGCACATGATAGAGGGGTGTCACAGAGTAGAAACAGTTCATGGTGCCCACATGGTAGGAAAAGCAACAAGGGAACCTTCACAGCGTCTTCCTGCCCATTTTATCTTATCGAGACTACTGGAATTAGTGTGGTGCCAAACCAATTAATGCACTAGTTTAGTAATCACATGCCCTTAATCCCAGCATCATACTCTAGCTACTTATGACTGCATGAGGCTTTGGAGAGACATCTAGACCAAAACCATAACATCCACCAAAAGACTTCAACATTTAATAACCAAATTCAGTAGCATAGCTGGATACAAAGTCATCACTCAAAAATCCAAGTCAGTCCTATACACAAATAAACTCACTGAGGGAGAAAGTACGGAAACAATACCTTTCACAATAACATCAAAGAAAAAAAGAAATATCTAGGAAGCAATCTAATAAAGGAAGCAAACGACCTTTACATTGAAAACTATAGTACTCTGAAAAGATAGAGGAGGATATCAGAAAATGGAAAGATATCCCTTTCTCTTGGGTAGGAAAAACCAAAACAGGGAAAATGGCCATACTTTCCAGAACTGTTATACAGATTTAATGCAACTGTGATCAAAATACCAATAGCATATCTTGCAGAATTATAGAAAAAAATTAGAGTACTACTCTGCCACAAAGGATAAGGTTGAGACATTTCTAGTTAAATGGATGCACCTCGAGACCATACTGTTAAGTGAAATAAATCAGACACATGTTTAAAAACTGCATTGTTTCTCGGTGTGAGAAATTGAAAAGTGTAAATAAGGACCAAAATGTATAATAGATATTGATTGAGAAATGGGGAGAAAATGTTCATATGAGAAGTGGAACAAGGGATGGGGAGGGGAGAAGGAAAGAAACATCAAGAAAAAAGAACAGAAGGAAAAAATGGAAACAAAGCTTTTGCAAATAAGGAAGGGAAGAGGAGTTGAGGGAAGGGAGGGGAATGAGGGGAAAAAAGCAAGATATGTAATGTACAGGCACAAATTCCCTATGATGAATGAGATCATTATGTGTATCTGAAATGTATAAAAAAAAAATCAAACGTCTGAATTGCCTGGGGTTGTTTCTGCTTCCTCTATTCTATTGCAGTGGTCCACATTTCTGTTTTTGTGCCAGTACCATGCTGTTTTTATCACTGTGGTTTTGTAATATAACTTCAAATCTGGGATTGTAATACTACCTGCTTTGTTTTTATTACCCAGAATTGCTTTTGCTATTCTGGTTGACTTCCGGTTTCATATGAATTTTTAGATTGTTTTCTCTAGATCTGTGTAAAGTGCTGTTGGTATTTTGATTGAGATTGCATCAAATCTATATCAAATCAATTAGTTTTGGCAATATAGTCATTTTGACTATATTGTTTCTGCCTATCCAGGAATATGGGATATCTTTCCATTTTCTGATGTCCTTTTCTTTTTTTTTTTGGTACCGGGGATTGAACTTGTGCTTGCAAGACAGGCGCCAGAACCACTGAGCTAAATCCCCAGCCCCCTGATGTCTTTTTCTGATGTCTTCAATCTCCTTTTTCAGAGTGATAAAACTTTTGTTGTAGAGGTCTTTCAATTCTTTAGTTAGTCTAATTCCCAAGAATTTAATTTTTTTTTGATGCTATTGTGAATGGTATTGTTTCTATAATTTCTCTTTTACTGAGTTCACTGTTAGTATATAGGAATGCTACTGAATTCTGTGTGTTGATTTTGTATCCAGCTACATTACTGGATTTGTCTATTAGTTCTAGGAGTCTTTTAGCTGCACTTCACTCGAGCGCTTCCTCAAATCTCTGACTGATAAACCCTTCTTGTGTACTGGCTCACTCTGCAATTTCATTTTCTTCATTCTGGGAGTCAGCGAACTTACAAATTTCTTCCACCGGGATGGGATGGGTTCCTCGTTTCAGCCTGGTGACAGAACTGGCTAGACTGCCTTGTACAAAGGACTCGCAGGGATTGGGTCCCTCCCTTCCTGTCTGCGCATCTCACCACCTCAGTGATCTTATCTCAGTTCTCTGAACAGACGCTTCTCAAATGCCTCAGGTTTGTGCACAAGCTTTTCTTTCTGCCTGCCTTGTTCTCTTAGCCAGTGTCTGTTTCCTCCCACCACGATGCCCTATATTTCTCTGTTGTAGCACTTAGTGAACTGAAGTTTCTGGACTTTTTTTTTCTGGTGGTATTAGGGATGGAAGCCAGGGCCCTGAACATACTACACAAGCTCTTTACTGCTCAGCTACATCCCTAGCCTGATTTGTTCTTTGGGATCTCTCTACCAATGATTTGTGAGTTCCTTCAGAGTAGAGTCTTACTTTCATCTGGGTTTAAATTCATGCCTGGCTCATTGTAAGCTTCAAGTGTCACTGAAACTTCTATATGAATGAGTGTAAAGTTGTATTTTTATAGAAAAAGTTACACTGATTTATTACTGATTTACGGAGAGGATTCTGCGGTCTGCTACTAAAGTTTAATGCTCTGGAGATTTTAATTTTTAGATCTTGATTTTTTTTCCTTAGAAACTCATATCAGAGGTCTGGAAAATGGAACTCAACTTAGGAGGGGTCCTTAAGTGGCATAGGCTATGTCACATCCTGTGAATGGAGAGCTCATCACCGTTAGGCTGTTACTACTGGTTAGTAACTTAAGCACAGTAGTATTATCTCCCTTACGTGTCAGAAAATGGAGGCCAGCCAGGGATTTAGCTCAGTGGTTCAGTGGCCTGCCTTGCAAGCGCAAGGACCCGAGTTCAATCCCCAGTACCCCCCCAAAGAAAAGAAAAGAAAATGGCAGGGGAGTGTGTTCCATGTTAGATTTATAGGAGAAGGAAGGCCACGGCCTCATGTATTCTCTGGTCTCCAATATGCACCCTGTCTTCCCAACCTATTTTTTTGGTTTTATTTTCAAGTACAGACAAGATAGCCAGTGGCTTCACATAGGATTTCACAACTGGAAGGCACATTAAGTATTATCTAGTGTGGTGGGTTTTATGAGAGAATCATTTGGCAAAGCACTGGCTGCTTTTGTGCTTATCACAATGGAGGTAAGGGTTCCTGAAATTCAGGAGAAGGGGCCCAGTATGAAATGAAAGTCCTGCTGTCTGTGGGCCAGTTGTGCTGCGAAGAGTCTCTCCTTGACCAAACTCTAGCCAGGATCCTCTGAGCCCTCATCTCCACTAGGCCACAATCTCAGCCAAAAAAGATGTGAACCAACTCTGAAATCATTTCTAAGAGCTCAGGGCCACATCCCTAGGATGGCCCTACTTTCCCTTAAAGTGCTTGCCTGTGAAAATTCAAGGCTGCCAAGATAATTTATTCTTTATTCCAGTCACTACCTGTCGAAGGGGCCTCTGTCTTGCAGCATCTATTCCAGTTAGCAAACCAGGTGAGCTTCAAGTGCACCAACCCATTTCCACTGTCTGAAACGTTTCACTTCCTTGACCGGGCTCAAGACATTGCCCTTCACACTGTCCCTCTACCTCCCTTTATTTCTTTTTATTAATTTTTATGTCTTAAAGTCATTCATTCATTCATTTAGCAGAGTCTCTTAAGTTTAGACTGATTTTAAACTCACTATGTAGCCCAGGCTGACCTCAGAACTCAAAGTGATCCTCCTGCCTCAGCCTCTTAAGTGCTGGGATTACAGACAAGCACTACCACACCTGGCTTCCAATGCACTTTAAAACAACCAGTTACTTCTGCCAAATTCAAATGAAGCCCAGCTCTTCTCACTAGGGTCTAGCAGTATGAATCAATAAAACCAAAATGCATATTGAACTATCCATTCCAAAAATGGCCTTAAGAATCAGGCCCTTGTTCTGAAAACAAGGTCTTACATGTATGCTCACATACTGATAATTCATTGAGCTGTACACTTACAATCTGTGTACATTACTGTTGGTACATTACACTTTAGTGTAAAAGTTCATGTATAATAAAAACCTGAAAAAGTGACGAAGGATAATTTAAGAAATATTAAAATGGTATTAAGCAGAAAAAGCAAAAGATTCTTTTTCAGATTGGCAAAAACAAATATACATATGAAGAATGTGAAAACATGGAGGAATAGGAATTTGGTGTGATTACAAGTGTTTTTCAAAAGGATGATCTCCCCCTACCCCCCGGGATTGAATCCAGGGGCTGCCTACTACTTTGCTACATCCCCAGCTCTTTTTTATTTTTATTTTGAGACAGGGTCTCCGGCAAGAGTCGAAGTGGCAGCCCTCCTGCCTCAACCTCCTTCAGTGCTGGGATTACAATCATGCACCACCAAATAAGTTGTTTTTGAAACTAAAAAGTTTCCTACTGAAACCTTTTATTCTGTTTGTGTTGATGTGCAGGGAAAATGGCTTTCCCATAACTCACTGTTGCCTGGACTCAGGGACACCAACTTGTATTGGGGCCAATTTGAACCTAAGTCAAACTGCATTTTTCTCAGATCTATTCAGTTGATACGTGGTACTTCACCACTGTGGTGGTGGATACATGACTTTACATGTCATTAAATGTCATAGACATAAATACATATACACACACAAGTGAGTACAAGAAAACCTGCAGCGAGCCACGTGTAATGGTGCACGCCTGTAATCCCCAACACTATGGGAGGTTGAGGCAGGAGGATCACAAGTTCGAGTCCAGCCTGGGCAACTTAGTGACTTAGTGAAACCTTGGGATCTCTCTGTATTATTTATTTAATTATTTATTTTTAGTTTTTGAGACAGGGTCTCATTATGTAGTTGAGACTGACCTGGGATTCACTATGTAGCCCAGGCTGGTCTCAAATTCACAGTGATCCTCCTGCCTTAGCCTTCCGAGTGCTAGGATTACAGGTGTGCGCCACCACACCTGGCGGTCTGTATTATTTATTAAAGCATGTAAATCTATTATTATCTCACAAAGGTATTTACACATTTCCATCTGTTGGTACCACCCATGGAACCTGCATGACTGGCCCACCCGATGGCCTATACCTCCTGAAGGGACTGTCCCATGTCGCCTGATGGGACAGTCCTGCACCTCCCACCTATCGTTGAAACCACCTGACAGTGAGACATGTGAACTACAGCCCTTTTTGATAAGGGATTTAAACATTCTCTAGGTTCTCCCAGACTGCTCCTTACTTTCTTAATTGAGCCCATTTATGACTTCATATACCTTTGTCTGGGTCCTGGAAGTTGCAGTCTTCTTTTTTATTTATTTATTTATTTTTGGTACCAGGGATCAAACTCAGGACTTTGCACTTGTCAGGCAGGTGCAGTGCCACTGAGTTAAATCCCCAGCCCTTGCAGTCTTAACATTGCAATTTTTAGTTCTGACTTCCCTGTCTCCATTCCATTTTTTATTTCTTCTATCATACCTCTTGGGGATTCAACAGTGAGCACATTTGTCCCTTCTGTCATCAAGCCTGGGGGCTATAGGAAGGTGGATCTTTATCCAATCATGACACTTATGAAAGTGTAATTATAAATCACAGTCCTAAGAAGAGGGGTAAACATGGTTAATGAAACCCTAAAGCAAAGAGACGTGCCCTACATTGGAGATCCTCAAGGAAAATATCCCTAGAGGAAATATCCCCTGTGCACTGAGGTGGGGAGCCGGCAGGTAAGTGAGATTGCAGGAGAGGGGCGGATGAGGAGGAAGCCCGGGAGAGTGGGGGCAGTCAGGGGCCAAGGGCAAGGTCCTGAGCTTTAGTTTTAGAGCAAAGCCTTTTCACCAGGGGAGGGTAGTGACTGTCTTTCTGGGGATACAGTGGAGGAGTCTGCGGGAAGGGCAGAGTAGAAGTGTTGTGGAGAGAGCCGTTAGGAGCCCTGCGGGGAGACCTAAAGGTGACTTTGGTTAGGGTGATGGCAGTGGAGAAGGAAAGGATTGGCTGGTTTCCTCAGAAGGGGTGTGGCAATTTGGAGGTAAAAACCCAAGACCCAGTGAAAGCCTGAATATGGGGCAGAGAATGGAAAGTTTCAAGATGAAATTAAGCTTGATAGCATGTGAGTTCTATTAACCAGGCCAATGTTTAAGTTTAATTGCAGTGGAACATTTTTAAAAGGAAACGCCAGCTCTCCTGTATGATGACGAGCCTCAGGGCACAGCTGCCTCTAGCAAGACGCAGTTGCTTCAGTACCATGAGCCCCAGACTCGTCTCCGGCGATGGCTTCTGGGAGAAGTTTACACATCCCAGGTTCAAGTCCGTGGGTGGCCAACAGCATGGATGCGCCCACCATCAGAATCTCCCTAGCATTTTTTGTGGCCAAGAGAACTATTTGTAAAACTGAGCCACCACAGAGAGGCGGCTGACCTTAGAGTGAGAGGCTGACAATAAGTTGGAGAATTTTGGGAATCCAACCTCAGGAATGCTGGCCCTTTCTCCACTTGTGGCTGTCTTTTGAACTGTAGGGTTTGGCAGTCAGTCAAAACAAGTAACTCTGGGTGCGAGGGTCAGCAGAGTTCAGAACAAACAGTCCCTGGCTCACTGCTTCAGACTAGATGTCTCTCCCAGGCACATCTTGGAATCGTTGGCCTTTTCAGTTAGGGGAGAGTCTTTGGTACAGTAACAATCTACACATACATTTTAAAAACATGCTTTTCTATAATGAGGCATTTATTGGGAGGGAATTTCCAAGATTCCTGATTTGAGTCTCTGGTACCAAGCAACCTGGTGACACCATTTGGATGTCCTTACTGAAGTCACTTGTTGAAATAAGTGGGATTTGGAACACTCAGTGAGATTCTGCTAACAAGGGTCGGATACCTGGCCTGCCAGCTCAGCTCCACAGAGGGGCAGTGTGTGTGTGTGTGTGTGTGTGTGTGTGTGCACGCAGTGTGTGACTTGTGCCACTCAGCATGAGGCTCAAGGCTCACAGACAAGGAACATAACTATTATGCTCCCACCCTGGCTGCTTTTCTCACTCAACTCTACATTATGGGAAGGGAAAGAACGAGGGAAGCAAACTAGTGCTGGATAACTATTCCAGTTAACGCTCCTCCGGGGAAGTTCCCAGACCTCATGACTGAACCAGGCCCACACCACACCCCTGACTTCATCACAAGCATCGACCTTGCTCAGCCTTGGCTGCCCTCTGATTCGCCAAGTGCGTAGAGGGGAAAAGCGTGTGTGAAACAGTAATGCATGTGTGTGGTAACGACTTTGTTCACTGCCATATGATGTATGAGTCACTCTAACTCGATCCCATTCCCATTTCACCTGATGGCCTCTCAGGCAAGCTGCGCTCCATCAGGTCCCTTGTGTTATCCCGTTCTGCTCACCCCGAACACACCTTCCTCCTTCCCCAGGGAACATTCGCAAGTGTTACCTGTGTGTTTAGTTCCTATTGAGGCTTTAGAAGCTTGACCCCTTCCCGCTGGCTCTCCCCTTACTGACCTTCCCTGACTCCAGCCTCCAGGAACCATCTTGGCTGTGCCGTGCTCGGTCAGTATCCCTACCTCCACTAGGGTTGTGGGCAGACGTGTAGATCCGTCCAAACAGTGAAGTAGGAACAAATGCTATCCCACCATATGGCGGAGGACATCAACACCCAGAAAGGTATGGACAGAAGACTACCCAACTTTGGAATTTACTGCTTTTGACTCTGTAATTCAATGAATCCATTATTCTAATTTTAGCTGAAAAAAGCAAAATGTATCACCCATTTACTTGGGTGGTGCAGACTGAAGAGACATAGTTACAGAATTAATATAGATAGTAAACTGGGGTACAAGACCACTCCCCTCCACTCATCTGAACCTGGGCAATGCCCCAGGGTCAACCCTCCTCAACTCTCCAATCCTTCTGCTAAGGCCTGCCAACCATAGGCAGAGATCAGAAAGAGTCCTTGGGCCTACTGTGGAAGATTCCAAAATCCCAAACCAGGACACATGTGTGCCAGACCTGCTGGCATGACCTGCAATGACCTTTCCTCACTTGGAGCTCGTTAAAAGCTCGTGCCTATGGACTGCATCTCACACAGACAACTCTAAGTGAATTATGGGAAAGGACATTCACAGTAGATACAGGTGACAAGACTCAGCACCCTGTCAATCACTCTGGAAGACCCAACGGGGGGTGTCCTAGACCTGGCCCAACATTTTAAATTCTTAACCCTAACCCATTTCCATTCCTGCCCCATGAGCCCACGGGCTCTGAGTGTACCATCGTCTATTTAAACTTCACTACACATCTAATTCTTTGCTGCACACAAGAAACCTAGAAACCTGGCTGGGACCCCATCGCTCACAGCAACAGAATTAGTGACACTAGCTTAAATAAACCTACCCTCACTGGAAGCCAACAGAAGAAATTAGGGGCATTAAACACTGCCCCAAGGGTTTTAAATGTACCATCTTTGGCTACCATAAGAAGACATCACAGTCTGGGTGACTTAAACAATAAAAGCTTACTTCCTCACAGTTGTGGTGTTGGAAGTGATATTAGGGTGCAGCATGATCAGATTTTGGGGAGGGTGCTGTTCCTGACTTGCTGACAGCCACCATCTCCCTGTAGTCCCAAGAGAATGAGGCAAAGAAGGAAGGGGACAGAGATGTACCGGCTCTGCTTGTCTTTCTTCATCTTCTTCTCCCTCCCTTTTCCTTCTCCTTTTCCACCCTTCTCCCTCCCGCTCCGTCTCTGCCTTCCCTTACTCCTTTTTCCTCCTCATTCTTCTTCTCCTTCCTCCTCCCCTTTTCCTCCCCCTGTTTCTCCTTCTCTTTCTCACTCTTCCCCTTCTTTTTCCCTCCTTCTTTTGTTTTTGAGTCAGGGTCTCGCTATGCAGTTCAGGCTGGCCTTGAACTCACTATGTAACCCAGGCTGGTCTAGAACTCACAGTGATCCTCCAGCCTCAGCCTCCCAAATGTCTGAATTACAGATGTGCAGCACCGTGCCCTGCTTGTATGTCTCTTCTTGTGAGAACTCTAGCCCTGTCACAACAGGCCCATCCTTATGATCTCATTTAACCGCAGTTACCCTCTTAAAAGCTCTATCTCTAAATATAGTTATATAGGGAAGTAGGACTTCGACACATGAAGTTTGCTGGATGCAGTTGATCTACAGCATGTTTCAACATTCTGAGGTGAATCTCAGAATTGGAAGAGAACACAAAGATCATCTTTTTATTAGCACATTCCTTCCTAATAACTCATCACTGTTCAGCCTCTTCTTCTGAAGAGGGGGGGTGGGTGGGTATGGGCATCTTTCTGTCTCCATTCTGTCTTTGGGCTCCAGGAAAGGTTATCCAACAAGACTTCCACTGATCCTTTCAAAGGTCTTTCTTGCCTGTGGATTGCTTACTCCCACAAATGCCTCAGGGATTCCTTGGGGTCCTCCCTACCTCAATTCCAAGATGTTGGCTTCCTCCTGAGATTCAAAACTCGGTTGGCCCAGCTGTTCTTTCCACATAAAGGAAAGGAAACCACCAAATCACAAGGCAGCTTTTCTTATCCTAGAGCCATTGACTGTCTAGGTGAAGAGGGCATTGGGAAACAATTCCAAGTGCAGGCCTGTAGGATTCTCCCCACTGATACTAATGACCTCTAAAAGCATCCTCCATGGTACGATGTCAAAGACGTCAAAGAGCTTTTCTTTGAAAGACCGTAACTTTATATACTCCTCATTTTTCTCTTGTGAGGCTTTTTCCTGTTAAGTTGTTAGAAGTGGACTCTCTGAGAAATCTTAAGAAGCTCTTACCATAATACTTTCAAGAAGCTTAAAGTGCAGCTACATCAGCGGATATTTCTGTGAAAGAACAAGAGTTAGTGAGTGCCTCTTTGTGTGTGTGTGTGTCTCATTTTGTACCCTAGGCTCTCATTCCCCTCACCCTAGTTCTGCCTTGCATTTCCCTCCCAGGGAAATAGAAAGATTCAATTATATAATGTATGGAATGTTTGAAAAGTGCCTGGCACACAATATGCATTCAATAAATGTCAACTTTTTTCTTTTCCTCTGTGCTAGTCAGGTTTCTGTTACTGTAGCAAATACCTGAGATAATCAGTTTATAAAGATGAAAGGTTTACTTTGGCCCATGGTTTCAGTTCATAATTGCTTGGTCTGTTGCCTTTGGGCCTGTGGCAAGGCAGCACATCATGACAGGAAACGTGTGGTGGGTCAAAGCTGCTCACCCATCTCCCCTCATTGTGGCCAGGAGGCAAAAGGAGAGGGGAAAATGAAAGGCCATCGTCCCAATATCCCCTGAAAGGGCACATCCCCAGTGGCCTAACTTCCTTTCACTAGGCTCCCCTCTCCTCTCCTAAAGTTTCCACCACCTCCTAATAGTGCTAGGGGTTGGGGACCAAGCCTTGAACACATGGATTTTGGAGGACATTCAAGATCCAAACTATAGTGCATTCTAAAAATACATTTTTAAGTTGAGTGTGATGAAGCACACCTAAAATCCCAGCACTTGGGCAGCTGAGGCAGGAAGGTCACAGTACATTCAAGGCCAGGCTGCATTACACAGCAAGACTCCATTTCAACAACCAAAATAAGACAAAAATGAATAAATACAGTTTAGGAGGAACTAAACCCTTAACACTTAAAATCCAGATAATGATAGCTAACATTCATTTAGCTCTTAGGTGCTGAGCATTCAGTTAATAGCAATTATTTACTGAGCTCTCTGTAGGCATCATGTACTTTGTATGCATCATTAATAATGCACTTAATAGTTTTACGAGGTAAGGACTACAGCACACTGCACAGGAAGGAGGAGCAGCCCACCTACCTGCCCATCCCACTTCTGCCAGAGTCAAGCTACCAACTCCTACACCTTGGTTCTCTCAGCACAGGGCAGCAGAGCGGACAACCAGAAGATCGACCTGATTGAGAATGAGCTCGACACTCTGGAGGACAGTTTCACTCCAGGACAGAAGTGCTATCCCACTGCAGAGACTGGGTGAGAGACAGACTCGGAAAGGGTGAGGGCTGGTTAGACAGTAGATCCCCTGAGGCCCTCTGAGAATCTCAAGGTCAGACCAGGAAGGTCGCCTGGTCTCCCGGCCTGCATTCTGTGCCAGGTTTTGTGGGTGTAACCTTCAGAGGGTGTTGGACTGAAGGTGGTAGCACTGAGTCCAGGGCTCTGCTTGAGCTCTCACACCACTGCCCACCTCCAGCACAGACCAGTCAACATCTGGGCTACCTACATGTGTACACTAAAATTAGAGAGGGTGGTACATGAATTGTTCTTACTGTCCAGTCTGTATATGATGCCATTTATACACGATGCTAAGTTTCCTACTATAGCCAAAGAGACATAGTACTGTCAGTTGGCTTTCTCTATATGCCAATATCTGGATTCCCTGGGGATCATAAACGATACTGTGGCCCATTCCCAAAGAAATGGGTGCTGCGCCAATTAATCTGCAACCTCCCCTCCCAAATAAATGGGGGTATGGGCCGGGGATTTATTTCAGTGGTTCTGCCGCCTGCCTCAAAAGCACAAGTTCCTAAGTTCTATCTCCGGTACCAAAAAAATAAAAAAATTTTTAAAAAATGGAGGTGGCTAGATCCTGGGACAGAAGAAAAGGCCAATAGTTAGTCACACTCAGAGGATATCTCTGCAACCCAATTTGTTCAACCAGCAAACCCTTGTGCAGAAATCAAACAAACAAAAAATAGAAATGTTAGAAGACATGGGCTGGGGATTTAGCTCAGTGGTTCCACCGCCTGCCTTGCAAGCACAAGGACCCGAGTTCGGTCCCCAGTACCAAAAAAAGAAGACAAGGCAACAAAATGTCTCCAAACGCTCCACTCATAAAGGGGGAGAAAATCCAAGGGAGGCGAAAGAAGAGACGAGACAGGAAGTAGGGAGATCTTCTTCAAACGGGGAAGGGAGCAAGAGATGGAGGGAAGGGGTAGGAAGGAGAGGGAAAGGGATAGAAAGAAAAAGAACGAAGGGAAAATGGTGAATGAACCTAATAAAAAAGAATAAACAAAACGTTGTATGGCAGAGGAATTACTATTACTCCAATTTAAGACGAAGGATTGAAGGTAAGATTAATCAATTTATTTAAGATCACATCGCCAATGAAGATGCACAGAACTAGGAGTTTGGCTCCAGAGTCAGCCATGAGAATAAAATCAGGGAATAAGAAAGGACCTGAAAGTGGTCAGAGAAGAAAAGCATACATTGCTTTTCTACCTTCTTTGCCAAAAACAGTTGTGTGATTTTACTTCCATTTTCCAAATGCATCTTGTGAAATATGCACATGACTTCCTGTCAGAGGAGCTCAGGAGTGAAATATCTTGCTTAGGGGCAGTAAGAATCTTTCAGCAGATGGCCACACATGCCCATGTAAATTCTCTACCAGTCATGAAGGCACCACTAGAGTCAGGGACTCAGGAGTGTCACTCTCCTTCCAACTCTGATCCGGTGCTGACCGCCTCCTCACACTACTTTCTTGGGACAGGAATTCCTCAGAGTGCCCCATATGCACGTAGGTGTTATTTTGGTTTTATTGTTCTCTACGTATTTAATACGCTTTGCCTTTCTAGCTGTATCACAGTTACAAGTTTACAAATAATGCCATGTTAGGATATATTTCAGTGCATTCCAATTTAGTCAGCTTAGAAGTCCGGGAGATATATTCATTTCAACATACATAAATATAAATCCAAAATAGGTCAAATTAGAATTAATTTAAAGATGTTTTGCTGAAACTGAGTAGCTGCTAGCAACAGGAATGTGATGATGCTGACGGCAAAACTTCAGCGTGCCATGATGTTTCTGCCTTGCAAAAGGCCTAAAAGCAATGGAACCAGACAACCACGCCCTCAAACTGTGAGCCAAAATAAACCTTTTTTTCCTTAAGTCGTTATCCTCAGGTATTTTGTCATACTGACAAAAAGCTAACACAAACGGTGATACAGTATTAATCTAATTCAGGGTGAGTAGTGTAGTGCTGGGGACTGAATCCAGGACCTCCTGAATGCTAGGCAAGCACTCTAAAACTGAACTACAACTCCAGGACTGAGTATAATTTTTGATACTATATAATGACATATGTCAACATTTGGACACTGGTTCAATAGTTAGAAATCATTTTAAGAGTTTTTTTTTCAATTACTGAAGAGGAACAGCAACGCTCAACAGCAAGGCCACACACCAAGAGGGCCTAGGGGAGACTTTATTCAGGAGAGCAGATCCCAGAGAGGGAGAGAGAGAGAGAACAAAGAAAGGATGGTCCATTTATTGGTTTTGGGCTGGGCTATTGCATATATGTGAGCAGGCGGGCTACTTTAACTTACCGCAGGCCAGGTTGCCTTTTATGGACTTAGCCTTGCAGAAGCTAAGTTTCATTTCTCTAAACTATCACAGCCTTGGGAAAAGGAAACTTAAGATAGTGGTATGGAGTCATGAAGAACCCGGAAATGCGGCCGTAATGGTGGCGTCAGGTCCCTAACAATTACTGTGTCCTGGACCTAAATTTGAAAAGTTGCCTCAGCATTTTTTATTTTTTTTTTTTGTATCAGGGATCGAACTCAGGACCTTGCACTTGCAAGGCAGGTGCAGTGCCACTGAGCTACATCCCCAGCCCACCCTCTCAGCTTTTTTTGCCCACTAAGGGATTAGGGACCTAAGTCTAGGCTTAGATCAAATTTGAGTGCCCCCTCTAAGACTATCCATCAAGTGCTACACATGTCTCATCTTCTTCTTATGGCTAACTCTTGGCTTTGGGTACCAAGTCCTGAGCCATCTTCCTGTGATTGTCACATACTGTGCTTTCCCTGCAGTGCCATTAGGCGCTCGCCTATCTAGTTCCAGCTCTGCTACTTACTAACTGTGTGAACTCAGGCACATCACTCGGTTTGCTCGGCCTCAGTCTCCCCATCTGTAAAACGGCCATAATGCCATACACACTGGTTGCTCTGTGGGGCTGTTGGGAAACTCCAGTTTGATAAAGCATGTGAAAGTATTTTGAGAATTAAAGTGCTAGTCAAATGTAAGTTGGTAGTAAACCAGACCTTGACTTTTTTTTTGGGTACCGGAAATTGAACTCAGAAATTTGCACTTGCAAGGTAGGCGGCGGAACCACTGAGCGAAATCCCCGGCCCTGACCTTGACACATTTCATAGTCACTTTATGATTCGTTCCATCAAAGACAGATAAAGAGTATCATCCAGGACAGGTCAATGCATTGGACCTACAGGAGCATGAGATTCTTACTTTAGAGGATTTTTCCTGCCTCGTTTCTTTTAACTGTAATATGTCACATTAAAATATCACAGTTCTTCGTGGTTTTTTAAAAAAATCTATTACTGATAGAAATGAGAAATCATTAGTTTGGAAACCAAAATTTAAAAGTCACCCAGAATCCTACGATCTGAACATAACTGTATTTTTCCCAATTCAGTCTAGATGTCATCCATACAGACAAAAGTTTAAGATGGTACAATGACAGCGGACATATCACTCAGTATTTTGTTTGTTTGTTTGTTTTGGGTACCGGGGATTGAACTCAGGACCTTGCACTTGTGAGGCAGGCGGCGGAACCACTGAGCCAATCCCCTGGCCCTGCCACTCAGTATTTTGCTCTTTTCACTTAACGTTAAGCAAGCATGTCTCTACACTTCTACATAGCCTCCATACTCATCATTATTATTTAATGGCAAAATAATATCCTGTGAACCTAATTAACTATGATTCCCTTTGGGTCAGGACTTAGATTGTCTCTGGGGTTTTATGTGGCTGCTACAGGTATTAATGCTACAACAGACATCTTAAATACAGCTTTTTGCCCCTCTTGAAAGATAAAGTCTCTATAGTTAATATGTTAATTCAAAGAGTATGAAAAATCTTTAGCAGTCTGGAAAATTTATTGCTATTCCTTTGCAGCAGGATCTTACAAATTACAATGATATTAGGCAAGTTTGATTTCACAGCAAAGATTCCAGCAATGAGCAATTTATAAGAAAATTTTACTAATAGGTACAAGTGCTATCTTTTAAAAATGCTCTTTTTGGGCTGGGGGTAGCTCGGTGCTGCTACCTGCCTCACAAGTTCAAGGTCAGGAGTTTGGTTCCCAGCAAACAAACAAACAAACAAACAAACAAATGCTGTTTTCATTTCCACAAAGAGATGGCATTTTTCAAGGACTGATTCTTTTTTTTTAAATCTTATTGAGTTTATTGGTACATTTTAGGTATACAGTATGGTTACATTCATCATTGGGATCTTGTACCTTTACATGACAGGTCTTAGTTCTCCTTTTTTCCCCTGCCCTCCCTTCACCCCCTCACCCTCCCCTATTTACAAAGACTTTGTTTCCATTTTTTCCTTTTCTCGTATTTTTTCTTGTCCCTCATTTCCTTTCCCCTACCCTTCCCACTTCCCCTACATCTTAGCCCCTTTTCTTTTTTCTTTTTTTGGTTGTTTAAGACAGGGTCTCATTATGTAGTTGAGGCTGACCTGGAACTCACTATGTAGCCCAGGCTGGTCTCGAACTCACAGTGATTGTCCTGCCTCAGCCTCCCGAGTGCTAGGATTACAGGCATGCACCACCATGACTGGCTTTAGCCCTTTTTCGAGGACTAATTCTTAAAGAGACAATTTGGGTACCAAAGAGGGAAATCTACATTGCAGGTAGTGTCTTTGTTGAATCTTTTTTCTATACCAAAGATGCAGGAGAGCAGGCTGGTACCCAACTTCTTTTTGAGGGTGAAAGCAGCAAGGCCAGCTCCCTCACTGCCAACACAGCCAGCCCTGAAATATCTAGTACAGTGGATCCTATCTGAGATAGTTTGTATGTCCTTGCTGGAACTCACCAACAGACAGTTTCAATGTTGCTGAGCCATAAACCACCGATACACATTAAGGATTCGGACTATAGGTTGGCCGCATGCATGTTGATTACCATCCAAGGACTGGCATCTCAACTCAGTCAGAAGGAATCTTCA